ATTTAAAGTTATTAATTTTCCCTGTGGCTAGAATGGCTTAATGAAGCAATATTTCTTTTTTTTTTTTTTTGTATTTTCCAGGAAAATATTCCTCCTGGGACTCTGAGTCTGAGTGAGCAGGGGCTGTTTTGGGTCCCTGTAGCTCTAGTGCTCAGCACAGAGCCGGGCACGTAGTAGATGCTCGGTGAATGCACTTTCTCGGGTGGTCACAGAGTGGCTCTCATGACCAGGGTTTGCTCGTCCTGCTTCTCTCGGGTCCCACCCTTTCCCTGGCCACCTCTGCTGAGCAGGCTCTCGGGTGTGGGCACAGGTGCTTGAATGGCTCTTCTTCCTTCACTTTCAGTCCTCTTCCCTCACCCAGAGGAAGATTCAGGATGGATGCAGGCTGCAGAAAGGGGAACAGGAGCCCATTCTGTCCCCTTATTTCCATTCCAGTTTGTTTTGTTCTTTTATATTTAAATTTTTGTAGAAGGATCTACATGCGCAATAAAAACTTCTGTGTTCACAAAAGAGAGCACAGCCTCCCTCCTGGCCCTGCCCAGCCCCTGACAGCCCTCTCCTGCAGAGACAGCCAGGCTGTCACCGGGGACCTGTCTCTTTCTAGGGGTCTTTTGGGCTTTCCTGGGCAGGTGTACCTGGATCCATGCGTCAGGACACCTGGGGAAGCATCCCAAATACACCACCGTCGCCTCTGCAGGTGGCAATCGGCACTCTCCTCATTTTTTAAGAAAACAAGACGTAATATCTGCACACATTTCTACACCAGGGCCACTCAATAAGGAGTCCCAGAAACCAGCATTTGCTCCAAATGTCAATCTAGCTATGTGCTGAGAGGGGGTCATTTTGAAAGATGTCATGGGTTGTTCTGATAGTTCCCCTGCTGTGCTGGAGGACCCAGAGGTCATGCCTCCTCCTGTTGAGGTGCCACCTGCTGGACTTCCTTCTGTCACCTCCATGTTGCAGAAGGACTGTCCCCGCCTCAGAGGCGCCCAGTCCTGCGCCTTGGATTCTGTCATTATGTACAGCTCAGGGAACCAAGGCTCAGAGAGGTCTTCCCCAGGTCACATAGAGGGGGAGGGGTGGGGAGGGAGAGGAGGAGGAGGAGGGAAGGGACACTGTCTAAAGTGCCCTGGTTCATGTGACGGGCCCCTTTTTCTGTGTTTTTGGCTACCTCGGGGGATCTTGCGGACCAAGGCCTTTACCTGGACCAGGAGTGCACCCTCTTTCCCACCTCTGAGTGCTTGGGGTGAGGGGAGACCCCAAAGTTTCCTTCTTCCATTCTTACTTCAACAGGCACAGTGGGGTCCAGAAGGGGTGGCTCGTCCCAGGAACAGCCAGGTGACACCTCCTGCCCCAGTCTTCGTGGAGGGAGAGGCTGCTTGCTGTGTGGGTGTGAGGGGCAACTACCAGGCTGGGGGGCGCCCGAGGAGCCCGAGGCTTGTTCTTAGTGCCCAGTCGGGGCCACGCCTGGGTGCTGGGGTGGAGTGAGGCCCCGTCCTCCCCAAGAACCTTCCGGTTGGGTGAGAGGCAGGGCAGATGGCCCTCAGAACAGTGAGGCCCAAGTTCCCCTGCGGATGGCTCTGCTGTGAGCCTCTGGAGGCCCGGTTCTCTGGGACGTGGTTCCGTCCTGGGAGGCTGGCTTGGGCGTCCAGGAAGAAACCCTTTGCTAAAGCTACTTACTTCAAACAGTGGTGTGAGGCCGCCTGCTTCAGCATCCCCACAGATGCCCGCAAGCCCTCGGGTGCCCAGCTCTGCCGCCAGAGACCCCGAGCAGGCCTGGCTGCGCCTGGGTGCCAGGTGATTCTGAAGTGAAGGTTTGGCCTTTCCTCATCTGCCACAGAGTGGGCTGCCTAGAACCCCTGCCCCCAAAGAGGAGGAGAAACAGCCTCGTGGGAAAAGTCAGTTCAAGAACAAGCCGAGAAGGAAGGGACCACCGGGGTCTGCAGGCCACCGTGCACACTCCCCACCGGGGTCAAGGGTCGGCCAGGCACTGCTGTCGTCAGAGGTCACTTAGCTAGCCAGGGAGCTGGGTGTCCCTCCTTGGCAGCGGAGCTTGGAGGGCCCAGAGGGGCTGGGGCGGGGACAGGCTCCACCAAAGCCAATCTGAGCTCTGATGGAAGGCCACAGCCCTCTTGCTGTCATTGCCTGCAGATTTGGCTTATGGGGTGGGGCTCCTTTCCCTGGGAACCCCCAGGCTGCTAGGCAACAAAGCTCTGACAGTCCCCGGCCCTTGCTTTGGCCTCTGTGGGCTGTCCCTCAGCTAGCTGCACACCCCCACCTGAGCGGCACAGCACCTTCTGACAAAGCCTCCCTGTGGCCCTCCAAAATAGGTACCGTTACTCCCGACGCACAGATGACAAAACGGGGGCCCAGAGAGCTTCCCCCTCGGTGACTGAAAAAGTCAGGTTGGAATCCCAAGTCACCTGCGCCCCTGGGCTCTGAGCCGCGGTGGAGTTGTTCAGGAGGGGCCTTCACATCTGGCCTCCAGCACCTTGCAGACCCCATTTTGACGACAGAATCAGAGGAACACCTAACTCTGTGGGTTTGTTCCAGAAAACAGCCCTGGGCTCTGGTTTAGGGGAGCAGGCCCCCAGGAATGCCAGCAGGACTTGGGGGAGGGAGCAGATCAGCTTGGAGAGGACCCGCGGGACCGTCATGGGCAGACTCCAGGGAAGGGAGGTGGGCCCTTGCTCAGCGGGCGGTGGGCTGTAGGCCTGTGGAGGAAGGGTGCGTTCCCCGGCCCTGAGACGGACAGGCGGCTTATAGAGCAAGGAGCTCCGCAGCCCACAAGCAGCTGCACCACGTGCTGTCTGCTCCAGGATTCTGGACGGGCCATGGGCGGTGCTGCGTCAGGGCCTCAGGCCTCAGCAGCTTCTGACCATTCGGCTCACGACCCTGAGGTCCTGTAAGGGCTCTGCGTCCTCACTCAACACACCCACTGCCCCTGGCTGGTTCTCCTGCTGTCCTCTGGTGATTGGTGGTGGGAAGCAGTTTTAGGTTCATGGCCAAATCGATGGGAAGGTGCAGAGCCCCGCCCACCCCGAGTCGGTGGCCTCTCCCCCACCTGCGCCCCTGCCGTGGGCGCCGCTGGCTGTAGGGCACCTGCAGGACGCATCCTGCCACCTGCAGCCCGTGGGGCACCACGGCTTCCCTTGGAGCAGGGCCTCCTCTGGCTTTGGAAGGTGGAGGGGTTCTTCTGCCCTGAGCTTCTCTGCGGGCTGCTCCTCCCTCCCTCCAGGCCTCCCGCAGCCTCTGATCTTTCCCTGACTCCACAGCTCAGCGTTTCCGGAACCCGGCAACCGCCTCCTCAGACAGGCTTCTTCCTCCGGGAATACCCCAGTGCCTGCCCTGTGGCTGGGACTCGTGCGGCCATTCCACCTTCAGTCATTCAACAAACACCCGCTGGGTTCTCACGCCGAGGGGGCAGCTGCGAGCGCAGACCGTGGCCTCGTGTTCCTTCTGGAAGCTGGGGTCCCCTGGCTGCTCTTCCACCCCGAGCAGACGAGAGAGGCAGCCCTGGCTCCACCTCGAGCCCCTGAACTTATCCAGCCTGTCACCAGGTCAGCAGAGGTCACGGGGCATGGCTATCCCCGTCCACTCTCCCCTGTCCACTCCCCTTGACCAGCATCTGCCAGATTTGGTCCACTCCAGAGCCTTTGGACCCACCGTCTGGGCTCAGTCATCCAGAGGTCCCCTGCTTACAGACGAAGAGCCCGAGCCCCACAGTGGCCCAGGGTCCCCGACACCGAGCAAGGGCTCTGCAGGCCCTCTGCGTCCACACTCACTTTCCCAGTCCGCACAGGGAGGGGCCGAAGCCTGTGGCTGCCGGGGAGCCTGCAATTGTGTGGGACGTCACAGGGCATGAACTTCAGGACCAGGTGACCCGGGGTCCTGGGGTCCCCTGGGGCACATGCGTCCTTTTCAACGTGTCCCCCACTCCCAGCCGAGCAGGGGAAACACAGCGACCTCTTCTCCAAGCTTCTGGGCTCACAATTATGAAGTGTCCCCATCCCCTCATGCTGCCTAGGCACGGGAGGGCACGGCCCAGTTCCCCAGCGCAGCCAGGGCGAGGGCAGTGTCCCTGCGTCACTACCCTGCCCAGGCCACCCCTCGGAAGAACAAGCGCTGGGGGTGGCCGAGGAGCCCCCCACCACGCCCAGCCAGAGCCCCCACTTCCTGTGGGTGGCGGAGCCCAGGCGGCCTGTGACTCATAGAGGCACATCGCAACCTGCCCGGGAGCAGCACCTCTACCCGCCCAGGCCCACGAGCTCCTGGCAGCCCGCCCCGAGCACCACCATGTGGTCCCTCGGAGGTAACAGCCCATTCCTGTCTTTGCACGGCTTCTTTGTGGCTCAGGACCTGGGCAAAATAACTTGTCCAACAGTGTCTGTCCCCCGTGGGGTGAGAGCAGATCTGGGACTCCCAGCCAGGACCCTGACAGGAGGACACAAAGCCTGTCTGAACTGAAGTCACCAGCAGCAGCCACCAGCCACGGAGAGCACACTGGACAAATGCAAAGCCTCTCTACTGTCTGAGTTAACCTCTTCCTTCCCTAGGGAGCAGGAGAGCAGGGTCCTTTGCAGACAGAGAAACCAAGGCTCAGAGAGGTTACATAGTTTGTCCAGGGTAACACAGGACAAGTGAATGGCACAGCATGAGTGGAAAGTCCCATTCTGGAGTTGACGCTCCACACCTGTGGCTCCTGCTGCTTCAGCCCAATGTGTCAACCCAGGAGCTACAAAAACCAAATCATGAAGCTGCTCACACCAAACTCGCGCAAAAGACAAACCCAGAACAAACCAGACAATCCCTCCTGCTGACTGCCCTTCTCCCCAGGCCACTTTTCTGACCTAGGGAAGGAAGAGAACTTTGCTCACACTCCCCAGGAACGGAGCTCCCTCTGGAGCCTGCGAGTCTGCCCCCAGCTCGCCCTCCCTCGTGCTGGGACAGAGGGTCCTTTCACCAAAGCTGTGCTGGATCAACCCCTGCCGGGCACCCACCTTGTCTGGAGCAAGCTGTGCAGGCACTTTGGCAGTTTCCTGGGTCCTGGGGCTGCCTGATGTCCCCACCCGTCCCTAGCTCTCTGAGAAGAGGATGGGAGCTGAGCTGGAGTGGCGACCAATGGCTCATCTTTCAAGGGCTGGGCGGTGATGTCACTGCCCTCCTGGGCACTTCCTCCCTCCTCCCGCTCTGCTCCAAGCTCCTGCCCAGCGCTGAGCAGTGCTTCCTCTCCCGGAGTCCTGGGCTCTGTGAGCCAGAGGTTTCCGTGTTCCCCCAGGAATGTTCTCTGTGTACGCTTCTGCCCAGTGAGCCTCGGGGCGGCAAGTGTCCCAGCCTGCCCCAGGGTGGCCCGTGAGGGGCCACGTGAACGAGTGTCTCTCGTGACATTTATGATTTATTTTCCCGAGGACTTTGTTTTGAGTCTGAGTTTTAGGTGTACACAGGGGGCGTTCCCACGGGTGTGAACAGAAGGTGGCCAGGTGGGCAGGGACCTTCTGAAGGCACTTTTTACGGCATGTACCCGTCCCGAGTGTGACAGGGAGGAAACTCAGGGACCTCTTCCCAGCGACCCCAGGCATTCCCTTGGAGCTGTCCGCTGGGCTTCCTGGGTGGGCCTTCAGCACCCTCTCCCAGAGGCTGGCGACTCAGAAAGGCAGAGACAGACCAACTTTTCTCTTTTTTTTTATTTAAGGCCAAAACCTCTCCTTTGGGAGACCAGGTTCAGAGCAGGCAGAGGGAGGTGGGCAGATGGGGTCTCAGCCCCCCTGCCATGTCCCCTTCCCCTGAGCTTCTCAGAATCCTACAAAACAGTGACCCAGCCCAACCCCATCATGAAGGAATGGGGACACCGAGTCCTGGAAAGGCTGAGGATGGCCTGGGGCCCAGCCCTGGCTAGCCGTGGGCCGGCCAAGCTGTAACTTAGAGTCCAGGTCCCATCTGCACCTGTCCTGTTGGATGTCCTTGGTGCTTCCTGCCCTGGGTTCCCTGGTGGGGTGGAAGCCTGCAGGGGCCTCTTGAGCCCCCGGACACACTGCCGAGCACGTGCTCCGTCCTGGGGCGAGGTTGATCACTGAGGGGGTGTGTGATGGACGGGGTCCATTTATAGAGCCCACAGGGACAGGGACCTTGGGGAGTCTCTTCTGGGTTGGACCCCGCAGGGCTCTGCACACTGAGTCCCCAGAGGTCTGGATCCAGTATACCAGCGGCTGGGAGACTCTGGACGAAACGGCCACCTCACCCTTGTCCACCCAGCGCTGCAGTGGAGGGCTGTTTGGTCCTTGGTTTTATGTTGTTGTGACCCAGTTTGGAAGTCCTGGCTCAGGGCTGGGGGGGCTCGGAGCTGCAGATGAGCTCACGTTCCAAACACTTCCCTGCTGGGCTCTCACACTCTGGCCGCTGTGCACCTGGGGCCAGGTACCAAAGGACCATGGACAGTCCTCGCACCCTGGAACTCGTAGTAATATTCCAATGTGCCAGTCCTCAGGGGGCGCGGGAGACCCAGCCAACGCCACCCCTGTGCCGCTCATGAGCTCCCGTTGGCTGTCTCCCGCTGGAAACCCCGTGTAGCTCTGTCTGGAAGCTCTTTCCTCAAAATAGCAAGCCTCAGTAAGTTCTGCCTCTCATCTGTCCACGGATCATTATGTTGTGTCCTTCCATCAAAAGAATCTGCAGTTTTTCTGGGGGAGGGGGGACGGGTACTTGGGATTAAACCAACTGAACCACATCCCCAGCCCCTTTTTAAAAATTTTAAATTTAGAGACAGGGCCTCACTGAGTTGCTTAGGGCCTGGCTAAGTTGCTGAGGCTGGCTTTGAACTTGTGATCCTCCCCCCTCGGCCTCCTAAGCTGAAGAGTCTATAAATCTTTTAAAGCAACGGCTCCCTTTGCCCTGCATCTGCACTGGTGTCCACATGTCCTCGTTCTGCCTGCCGTCCACGTCTCTCCCTGTCCATCCACCAGATGCAGGTCCACCTGTCCTTTCTGCGTCCTTCCCTCCACCCACCCACTTACCCACAGGTTCATTTATCAGATACCCACACAGCCGGGCAGCAGGTGGCCAGGTGGCAGTGAATAGCGGGACACACCCACGCCAGTCCCCTGCCGGTGGCTGGGGTCAGGTCAAAGGGTGCCTTGTGACTCAGGGCCACCCACACTGCATCTAGATCAACATGTCGTCCGCACGTCCTTTTTGCCATGAGAAAACTTGGCTAAACCCTTTCTCCAGTGTCCCTGCAGCTGTGTCTACCTCGGGGACTCTCACCAGTTGGCCTGTGCAGGGGGTTCCAGGCAGCCTGGTGGCATTCAGGGAGGACTAAGGGGGATCCAGTTGTTCCCATGGGAGTGGAGACCTTCCCACTCAGCCAGGACCCTTTTCTTAACCTCGTGGAACTGCCCACCCAGGCTCCCGCCCCTCTTACCCTCTTTCCAGGGCCCTCGCCTCTCTTGCCAGACACACCCAGCCCTCTCAACTTTAGATCCATGAAGTCCCCTGGGCTCCCACATAGGGCGGGATGGAGCTGGGCCCTGGGCCTTTGCACACGTCACAGTGTCTGCCTGTAAAGCCCCTCCTCTGCCCTGCTCAGTAGGCCTGCTCTTCCCGCAGGAGGTACTCGGGCTTTGCCTGAAACCCTTGCCGATTGACCATGTCCGTCTGCACGTCCCCTGTCACAGCCCTGGGATTTTCCTCGGTGGGCTGAGAAACTCAGGAGCCAGGGAACCCTATCTTACTTACTGCTACTTATCACCTACACATAGTAGGCACCCTATGCCTGAACTGAAGAATCAACCCTACTCTGGGGAAAAGCCCCCATATCCAACCTGAAGAAGAGACCAAACAAAACAGAACAGTAGAGTACACATGCTCATGAACAGGTGTTTTCATTCTGTCCAGTGCTTTATCTCAATGTTCCAGAACATTCTCTGCACCAGTCTCTGTGTGTGAGAGAGGTCCTCTAAACCTCCCAGGAAGGCTGTTTGTTATCTCTCAGGCTCCCGTGGTGGGCTGTGCTTCTGTTTAGAACCCAGGGTCCTGGCCAGAAAGCCACTGCTGACCCCTATCAATCAGCAGCCCCCTGAGAAGGCCTGACCAGACCTCTGTCTCAGACGGGCTAGTCCTGGAAAACTGGAAGGTGGACTAGGAAGGACTCTGATTTTGATGGGAGCAAAACACTTGCAGAGCCTGTACCATTTGCCTGGTTGGCCCTGGTACCTGTGAAGGGCAGGCTGGGCCCTGCTGATCCAGCCCATGGACAGAACAGCAGGCCTCAAGCTATGCAGAGCCCCCAAGGGACTTGGCTTATAAAGCCATGAGCTACTCCGTTGTGAGTCCAGAGCCCGGGTCGATGACTCCATGCCTTGTTTGTACCAGTAAACCACAGCCATCCGCCCAGTGAGGCACACGTTGATAAGCAACTTAATTGTGCCAACTTATCACACTAAATCAGAAGTTCCCGGACATCCCAGATCCCATCAGGAGCTTATCAACCTCACAGAGCCACCCACCCATAAAAGGAGGATCCCCCAAGACTCAGCTGTGCCCACCCGGCCTCCGGTCCTTCTCTGCCCTAGCTGCAGCCTCCAGTGACCCTGATGCCACCTTGACCCTTTCCAAGCTTGATAATGACCAGTAAGTGTGAGGTGGGACTTGAGGGTCACAGATGTTGATTCTTAAAACCAGAATGGAATAAAAGGACGGGGGTCGCCTTGGCCGTGAACCTAAATGCACGGTGAGTGTTTTCTGAGAACCAAAGTTGATGGAACTGGCTTGTGAGTTGCTGTTATTCAGTTAATTCTGACACGGCAGGAAGAAAAACGTGCCTGGTCCATGTTCTGCCTTCGTCTGGTCCCCTCAGGAGATCCTGGACAGCCCTGCGCGCGTCTTGGAACGCAGGCCAGGGCTCAGGACCTCCGTCGCTCATGGCCTCTTTTGGTCCCCTGTGGCCCCTCCTGGCTGCCTACAGAGTGGTCTCTGGACCAGGCCCCCTCTAAGCACAGGGCAAGGCCGTCCACTGACTTCCCACTGCTCCATGCATGGTTACCAGTCACTGTCCCCATTTCACAGACGAGGACGCAGAGGCTGGGAGGCTACTTGGCCTGATTCCTACAGATTGCAAATGGCGGAGCTGGGGTCTGAACCCAAGTCCGACTCCTTAGCTGCGGTCCACCCCCCAGCAATGAAGAGGCAGCTTTTTAAAAAACTGATAATATCTATAGTATTTATGCAGTTCTCTACTCTTTGAGCTTGATGTGTAAGACAAAAAGTGAAAGTTCCCGGGCAAGGGGACTGCTTGGAGGTTAGCCATTTGGTCGCATTCTTACACATCTTAGGTGACCCTGTCCTACACAAGTGGGATCAGACACATGTCATTTTAGTGTGTGACTCTCCCTTTCCTGTTCTCTTTTGCTGCCCATGCCGCCTACCCTCTGGCCACTCCCCTTCCCAAGAGCCTGGCCCTGGTGCCAATGGTGCTTACAGAGGACGTGGGTCCCCTTCTTTGGAAAGCAGGAGAGAACTGCTGCTAGAGGTTCAAAAGAAAAAGCTTTCCCTGTCTTCTGTGCCTTTTCTCTTTGACGTGTCATGATGTGTGTGCGTATGTGTGTGTGTGTGCATGTGTTTTTAATAATTTGATACTTAATATGGTTCTAAGTATAGAAAAAATAAAATCTTAAATCATTAGCTCATGCCCTGCCATTCACCTTGATGTTTTCCAGTGCCAGTTTTAAACACAAACATTAGTTCATTCAATTTGTTTGAGAAATTGCTGAAATTATACAATTTGCACTCGGTGTCTGGTGCGTCTGGTGTCGTGCATTCTCATCAGGCCAGTGGAAGCGCCACAGAAACCAAACTCACCTGCTCAGCCTTCCCCTCCCTGGGAGCGGGAGGAACTCAGGTGCCTGATCTCCCCCTTTCCTCCCCTGTCCTGGCCTTCAGTGTCAGTGGGTGGCCGACACAGGAAGGGACCTGGGCAGGAAGTCTACCATGGGGTGGGTCCTCTGCTGTCCCTGCTCAACAGAGCCTCCCGGCCCTCTTTCTGCATTTGAAGCAAGTCTTGGTGTGAAAGCCTGGCCTCTGGGGAACACGCTTCTGGGACTCAGTTGAGCCTCTCTGAGCCTGGTGTCCCCCCTTCCAGCTCTGAGACCTGGAGTGAACTGAACCCTAACCCCCTGGGAAACAAGTCCTAAGCCCTAACCCCACGGGGTGTGGCTGTGGGCATCGTAGGACAGGGGGACCCACGTCTGGCTCCTTGTTCAGGGCCTGGCAGGGGCTCCCCAGCTCTGGGACCTGCCCCATTTAACACTTTGGAAGCTGAGGCGCAGGTTTAATCTGCTGTTGTTCTTCTCTCCCTGAAGCCTGCGGAAATAGCAAAGTCCCCGGTCAAGTTTTATTAAATGGCTTGTGAATAAAAATGCTTAAAACAAGTGGAGTTGCACGGAGGCCTTCAGAGGTGAGATGCAGGGGGCGTGGGGGAGTGAAGGGGTGGCCAAGAGGCCGGTCCACCCTCCTCCTCTGTCTGTCCATCTCCTGCTGCCCTGGGCGGGGTGGGCCTGTCGTCTCAGGCACGGTGGAGGCTCGGTCCCTCCCATGCGGGAGGAAGCAGTCTTCAACCTGACCATCAGCCTGGCTGTGCTTCCTAACTCTGTCCTTGGACCTGACGCTGTCGCCAGCAGGTTGGGAAAGCCGTTACTCACTTCCTGCTACGGGGCGCCGGCGGGCCTGAGGCTCCCAGCCCGGGAAATCCTCGGCGAGTGAGGGCGAGCCGGGTCCTGGCACCCTTTCGGGCCTCTTCTCCGGGTCTGAGTACCTCCAGGATTCTTGCAGAGTTCTGGAGCTGTCTCTGCTGGGTCCTGAACCTCCCCCAAGCTGGGACCTCTTACCCGGCCCCAGCACCAGTACCCAGCCGACTGACCAAGTGGCCTAGAGCCACCGGCTCTTCTCCCCTGCCCACTCCCCCACCTCCTCCTCCTCCTCCTCATCAGGAAACTGGGGCCCAGGGAGGGCAGCCCCTTGTGAGTGGTAGAGCTGAGCTTGGGCAGGGTCTGCTGGGGGCTCCTCCTCAGGGGGTCGAGCCCCACTGGCCTTTCCTGCCCCACATTCAGGTTTCATCCTACTGGCCACCAGAGGCCCAAGGGAGACAGGGCAGGACGGGCTTGGCCCCTGGCAGGAGCCCTCTGTGATCTGTCTACCCACCAGCCCCTTCACCTGCCCAGTGTGCGGCCGCTGGCCTGATCTCCACCGCACTCCCCACCTGCCTCCCTCCTGAGCCCAGCACGGTGCCCCCGCCCCCCGGGGGTCTCCCACTCTCTGGAGACTTGAATCATGTCCCTCTGGCAGCAGGACTTCTCTTCCTCCAAGGCCACGAGCCAGGGTCCTCTGCCCTCTGGCCACTTGCCTCTGGCAACTCTGTGAACGAGACTCCAACCTCCCTGTCCATCAGTGTCCTTTCATCACATGGGGACAACACCTGCCTCAGAGGTGGTGAAAATCAGAGGGACCAGCAGAGTGAGGGCGGGGCCTAGGGCTGCCATTCACGGCCTGCAGGGACTTGGGCAGGCCCCAGGTTCCCTGTGGGAAAAATGGGACTGTTAACGAATCCATCATAGGGCTTCTGGGATGGCCAGGTGGGGACTTGCCCCACTCCCTGGAATCGTCCACTCTTTGGCGGGAACTCACGAGCACTCCTCCACTTCCTCCATTAAAAAAAAAAAAAAAAAACTGGAGGAGAATTCACACAACGCCATCCTTTGGCGTCCACAATGGTGTGCCAGCAGAACTTCTATCTAGTTCCCAAACATTTCCTCAGCCCCAACCAGCCCAGGGCTGCCCAGCTAATGTGGGGCCTGGTTGGAGAAGGACTCTGGCCTTGGAGAGCCGGTCACTATGCAGCCTGCGCCTCCCGGAAGACCCTCCTTCCCCCCCTCCACGCGCAGAGCCCCAGTTAGCCCCGACCCGGGGCTCTGGCCTCCCTGGAAGCATTGCTGCAAACACACAACCTTCTGGGCCACATTCCTCGGCGGGGGTGACGTCACTGGGTCCGCAGGCTGGGGGCCTCCAGCTCGGTGCCCTTCACTGTTGAGCAATTACCCTTTGGTTCACCTTCAGGTCTGTTTTCTTCATAGAGCCCTGGCAGCTCCAGCCCCCACCCTGCTCCCTGGGCAGAGAGCTCACCTCCAGGTGGCCTGGGGACAGCCACAGCCACTCTGTTAAGCAGGCAGCCTGGCACTAGGTTACAGGTGCCATCTCCAGCTGGGCCTCACTGTGCGGGTTCCTGATGAGGAACCTGAGGCTCACAGTGTCAACAACCTGAGGTCATGTCCCCAAGGCCACCATGGCCCTGGACTCAGCCTTCTCACTGGGGTCTCCTAGGGATCCCCAGGTGGCTTCCCGCCCCTCCTCCTGTCCTTCCAGCCCTCTCTAGACCTTCCCATGTCAGCTGGAGGGATTTTAAAAACAATTTTTTTTTTTAAATTAGTACACACCACAGCTACTGCTTGGTGGTGCGCACTTCCTTGGGGTTCAACAGACGCAGAATCCTCCATCCCCCATCCTAGTGCCAAACCCGACATTCAGTCACCCTACACAGGGCGCTGTGTGGCCCCTTGCTGTGAACCCTCCCAGACCCCTGCTCTCAGCCATCTGCTGTGGCCTCCAGCGGACTGAACATTAACCTGCCCGCCCACCTGGGCACCTGGCCCTACTGGTGCTGACTCTGGTGTCCACACCCCACCCCGCCATGCCCTCCAGGGCTGTGCACCGCCCCTTGGATCTGCAGCAGGTCAGGGCGCAGCTGGCCCCTGTCGGGAGGGTCTCTTGGCCTCAACTCCCAGGGCCCACTCCTCTCCTCTGCAGTTACAGCCTCAGGGGCTTCTCCTGCCCTCCCACCCTCCCTGCCAACACCCTGCTGTCTGCAAGGGCTCTGCTGCGATGCCCACCATGTGACCCTGCAGCTCCGTGGGGACAGGGGTGGAGCCAAGCTACCTACTGACCCACAGGCAGGCACTTGGGGTACTCCAGAAACCCTGATGGAGCAGAGGAAGGGGTGCAGGCAGAGCCCTCCAGAGGTGTTCAGCCCAGAGGAAGGGACCAGCCTCAGGACAGGGGAAGCTGGAGTTGGTGAGGGGGACCCCAAACCTACGAAGCCAGGCAGTATCCTCTAAGAAAGTTTGGGGGAGTCAGGAGCGGGGGCAAGGGACATGTCCCTTCATACTGAACCCTCACGTTGGCACAATGGGAGGGCTCCTGAGAGGATGGCATTGGGTGGGGAACCTCCTGGACACCCCCTCAGGGACAAGTGGAGAGCTGGGGTGCAGGAAGAACAGTCGCAGGTCACTCGGCCCTTCCTCTGTGGAATTTCCCCTTCCAGTCCCAACCATGGGTCCCGTGTTTTCTGGTGGGTCTGAAAGCAGCCGCCCTGGAGTGGGGGTGACACTCTGGGGCAGAGGGAGGGACCAGCTCCAACGGCACTGGGACACTGAGTGAGCCCATCCTGTGGCTCCATAAATAGACGCCACCTTCCTAGATCATGCACCCCGAGGGTGGAGGTGGGAGCCGGAGCCGGGGTTCCCTGTTGCCATCTGTACCCCCAGGTCCCCCTGCATCAGAGACAGCGTGGGTGGCGACTGGCCGCTCTTCCTGGCACCTAGCTAGGCTCTCTTCCCAGACCAGAATGATTCAGAAAGCAAGAAGGTGACCTTTTCCTTCCGTGTCAGTCACTTTTTTGATTCCAGGGCTTATTCAGGGACATTTTAAGTAATCTAATGAAAGCAAAAAGGAGTGATGTCACATTATTGAGGTCCCTTGGCGCCAAGCGGGGGGCAGTGGAGGAGTGCATCCTCTCCCTGCCCTTGCATGTGCAGATGCTTCGGGACCAAGGAACAGAGGCCAGGGCAGGTCTGTGCACCACACAGCAGACCAGGACTCACAGCCTGGGCAGGGGTGGTGTCTGAGAGGCCTGGCTTGGAGGCCATGTGCTCAGGAATGGTGCCCAAAGCCAACTCAGGGCTGCTCCTGTGCAGACCCTGAGGCTGCCTCAGCAGGCATCACTGATGTGCTTCAGCTTGGCACTGGACGTCACGCTGTCCCCATGAATCAGGAAGCTGGGTCCCACTGGGGCCTCCTGGTCACCTGTGTGCACCCCAGGTGTGAGGGGTCTGGGAGAGCATCTGTTGCCCTGCAGGACTGGCCGGGGGGGGGGGGAGATTCCCTGAACTCAGGAAGGGAGCTCAGAGAGCAGGGCAGGCCGACGGGGAGGGGGAGCTCCTGACAGCCGTGCTGGACACCCGGGGCTGGGGCTAATTCAATACCCTCCAGCCTCCATGCATGGTCTCTCTGCACCAGACGTGACATTCTGCTCTGCATGCTGCAGGTCCCAACCCCTGAGAAGTCTCAGAGTCAGGGCCACCTCCTCTGGGCAGCCCTCGGTCGGAAGGATTCTTTCTGTCCTCTGAATGTTCCCAGCCTGTGTGGATCTCTCTAGGGGCACAATTTCAGAGCTGGCTGGGGTAAGGTTCTGCCCGGCTTCAAGGGCTGATCTGCACACCTGTTCACCTCCTGCCACTGCCTGTGGGGTGGTCGCCACGGAGCTGGCCTCTGAGCTGCTCCTACACCAAGGCAGGGAGGCCTTGGACAAGAGGGTGCCGCACCCACCCCTGCCTCCTGAGCTGGGCCTCCTCCCCACAGGGGGTTTAGTGAGGCCCAGCGACTCTCAGGCTCTACCTGCAGGCCCTTACCTGTCTCATGAGTGCTGCCCCTCCAGGCCCGAGCTCCCTGTCCCCACCTGGTCACACTCCCCCCTTTCCTCGTGTGTCTCCACTCACGGACACCAAATGCCTTTCGGGGCCTCCTCTGCTCTTCCTGCTCAGCCAGAACACAGATTCCCAAGGATGGCATTTGTGTCCTCACCTCCGGAGACTGCCGGAGACCTGCCTGTCACCCATCTCCAGCCGCGTCTTCCAGTGACATGCCCTGTGCTTGTCACCGCTGGTCTCCTCACATCAGGGGATGATGGGTTGGGGAAGCCTGGCTCCTTTTCTCTAAACAGATGTGAGTTTTTGTTGAAATCCTGTAGACACTCACGTAGCTAAAAACCCCGAGACGGCAGGTGGAAGACAGAAGGGTCCCCTCCTGCACCTCCACGGGCCCTAGCCCAGGGGATGAGCTGTCACTTTGCTGCCCCTGGGACCAAGAGCTGTATCACGCCTGGGTTTCCTTGTAGGTGTCCTGGGCTGGTGGAGCAAATGGCCACAGCTCGGTCCCTTAAAGCCCTAGAGCTGTTTCCCCGGAGCTCTGAAGGCCAGAGGCTGACTGACGTCAAGGTATCGGCCGGGCCGCGCTCCCCCGCCAGCTTCTGGTGGTTGCGGCATTCCCTGGCCTGTGGCCACAGTACTCCCGTCTCCCTCTTAAAACGACACCTGGGATGGCTCTTAGGGCCCACTCTGGTAATCTGGAATTATCCTCTTATCTTGGAATCTCTGATCACGTCTACCAAGACCCTTTGCCCAAATAAGGCCACGGTTCTTATTTCTCTGGCAAGCTCTTCCACTTGGTTTTCTTTTGCTTCCTTTTTTAGGAATTTCTGTTTTTCAGATCGAGTCTCTAACCCTTGACAGTTTTTAGTCCTTCTCCTTCTTCTCCCTCCTCTCAACTTGCTCCTGGAACTTTCCTTGACCTAGTCTCCCAGCTCTCGAACATGTCAGTTTTCATGAAGTTCACACACACAAAATTGCACATCTTTAAAGTGCACATCTGATAATTTTGTTTTTACACATGTCTCTCTTGCAAACATCACCTAGTCAACATAGCAAACCTGTTCATTACCCAAATTGCACCATAAGAATCCCTCCCTCTCACTCTCTCCACCCGACTCTCTTCACTTTCTGTCACTATGGATTCATCTTCATTGTTTAGAGTCTTTTTTTCTTTTTTGATTTTTTGGTTGTGGTTAATGAACATTTATTTATTTATTTGTTTATGAGAATTGAACCCAGTGCCTCACACATAGTAGGCAAGTGTTCTACCACTGAGCCCCAGCCCCAGCCCCTTGTTTAGAATTTTATGAAAATAGAATAACACAATATGTGCCTTTTCAAATCAATATAATTATTTCAAGATTCATTTGCACTGTGTGTATAAATCTTTATTACTTTTCATTGTTCAGTAGATGGATGCCTAAGTCTGTTTTCTGTGGCTATAACAAAATGCCTGAATCAAGTGACTTACACAAAAAGAAATTTATTTCTTATAGTTCTGGTGGCTGGGAAGTCTAGGAGCACCTGCTCAACATCTCCTGAGGTCCTTCCTGCTGAATTATAATATGGTGGAGGGTGTCACGTGGAGAGCTAGAGAAAGCTCATTTTTATAATACAGCTGCTTTCTTAATAATCCATTAGTCAATTAATCCAAGAATGGGTTAATCCAATCAGGAGGGCAGGAATCTGAAGATTTCATTACATCCCAAAGGTCCCACCTCTCAGATACTATTAACACAGGAGTTTAAGGACTATGTTTACAACATATGAAATCTGGAGGACACATTGAAAGCATAACAACGGATACACCATAATTCATTTATTCTTTCTTCTGTTGCTGGGCATTCAGGTTCTTTCTGTCTTTTGGGGTTATTGCAAATAAAGCTGCTATAGCATTCATTTGCATGTAAATACGTGCACATGAATGCTATAGCAGCTTTATTTGAACATGTATTTCTTCTTCTCTTGAGTAAATAACCAGGAATGGAATGGTTAGATCATATGGTGAGTGAATATTTAACTTTTTAAGAAACTGCCAAACCACTTTGAAAACTGCCTGTACCATTTTACATTCCTTCTACCAGTTAATAGAGTTCTAGTGGGCTCAGTTTCCCAGCATTTGGTGAGTCAGTTTTTTTAATTTTAGCTCCTCTGATAGGTGTTTAGTGGTGTCTCATGTTGTTAATTTGTATTTGCTCATGACTAATGATGCTGAGTACATTTCCATCTCTTTATTGGCCAATCAGCTGTCTGTCTGAGTGAAGTGTCTGTTCAAATTGTTTGTCCACTTTTTACTTGGATTGTTGGTTTCCATGTTGATGAATTTTGAGAGTTCTTTACATAAAGATACATATAGGTACAGGTGGATGTATGCTCTGCAAAGATTTTCCTCCCAGTCTTAGCTGTGATGCTTTTATTTTTTTATTTTTTTTATTGGTTGTTCAAAACATTATAAAGCTCTTGACATATCATATTTCATACATTAGATTCAAGTTGGTTATGAACTCCCAATTTTACCCCAAATACAGATTGCAGAATCACATCGGTTACACATCCACATTTTTACATAATGCCCTATTAGTAATTACATATAAGAGGTTGTGAGGGGAATGGGAAAATAAACAAGGAGAGATATGAATTACAGTGGATGGGGTAGAGAGAGAAGATGGGAGGGGAGGGAGGGGGGATGGTAGAGGATAGGAAAGGTAGCAGAATACAACAGCTGTGATGCTTTTAATGTTCAAGAGTTCTGATTAGTCTTGTTCATTTTTACAAGCACCCTGTTCTTGTTTAATGGATGCAATATTTCATCCTTGCAGGTTATTAATTATAATTTTAACAAGTTTTTCTGTTTTCTGTGCTTCTTTTCCTTGGTTTCTTTTCCTTTTAGGCTAGTGGGTTTCCTCAAATGGACAGTGTCCTTGGCTACCTGTCTACACTGAGTGTCTGGTCCTGGGCTTTGCACACTGAGAAGTCTCAATGCCAGCTGTACTCCACGGGGGAATGATCCAGAGGTGAGTAAGATGGGTGTGGGGTTGGGGGAAGCTCAAGGCAGGGAGATGCCTAAGAACCATCTATTTTGCAGATGAACTTTCATTCCATCTCCTTGCTTTTGGTCCTGAATCTAACATCCTCCTTTTATGGCACCTGGTGCTTCAAAATACCAAGCACCTCAGGTGTCCCGTGGCCAAGTATCTTGTCTTTGATGTTGTTCCCTCGGTGCTCTCGGCTGGAAACTGTCCCCATTCAGCTACACCCTTTTTGCTTTCAGACAACTAGACATTTCTTGATTCCTTCAGCTTCTACCCAACTCCTCTGTTTGCTATATTCTTGGAGAGTCACACCTTTCTTATTTTTGTGGAACCGTAATAACATCTTAAAAGGAGTTTGAGGAGGGGGCGGAAGAAATCCAGGAGTGGCAAATCTGCCATTTTTGACCAAAATTGAGAGTGCATGTGCTGGTGGGGGGCGCCCGCCTTCCGTAAGACTGATTCGACCCCTCCCTGCCGTCTTCGCCTCACGGGGTGCTGCTGGGCCTTCCCTGGGCCCCTTGTCCCTCGCTGCCTCCTCTCTTCTCTACCAGCACAGACATTGTGATCTGCCACTTTGGCATCTGCTGGGCACTGCCAACGGCCGCACAGAGCCCAGTGCCTTGATGCAGTTGCCAACCTCTGCTGGGCACCCACTGCCCGGTCTCCAGGGTTTCCCATCTGCTGGTCCTTCCAACCTCCAAACCTCCCTCGTCCCCATCGTTCGAAGCCAATGGCCTTTATAGACAGAACCGCAGAGATGAGACTCTTCCCCCTGTCCCCCATGGCGGCCACCATGGCCTTCTGCCTAGAGTGTGCCCCTGTGTCCTGGGCAGGGCCTCATGGCCTGCCCGACTTCCCCATTGTTCTCATTAGCTGTTCCGCTTCGGTGAACACCTGTGGAGGAGGAGAAGTCTACCTGGTGACACCTGTGGAGGAGGAGCAGTCTACCTGGTGACACCTGTGGAGGAGGAGCAGTCTACCTGGTGACACCTGTGGAGGAGGAGCAGTCTACCTGGTGGCACCTGTGGAGGAGGAGCAGTCTACCTGGTGGCACCTGTGGAGGAGGAGCAGTTGATGTGTTGGTCACGGTCTCAGAGGTCTCAGTCCACAGTCGGCCAGCTCCACTGCTCTGGGCTGGAGTGAGGCAGCGCATCAAGGTGGAAGAGTGTGGAGGAGGACAGCAGCTCAGGACGTCACATCAGGAAGGAGAGAGAGAGAGAGAGAGAGAGAGAGAGAGATTACGGATGAGGGACAGAATACACACCCAGAGGCGGGTCCCCATGACCCACCTCCTCCAGCCACACCCGCCTGCCCACGTTATCACCCAGTTCACCCCATCAGGGGACCGTGCCCAGGTGAGGTTAAGGCTCTGTCACCCACTCGTTTCTCCTCTGAACTTCCCTGTCCTGTCTCACACGTGAGCTTTGGGGTCACCTTCTGTCTAAACCGTAGCGACCTTCTCCCTGCTCTGCTTTGGCACTTCCTTTCAGTTCCAGAGATGTCACGGATACAGATTGTCACATTGGCTTCCTCCAGGGGAGATGTTCAAACATTTACCTGTGGCAGGAGGATACAGCAGTTCCCGCGGCCTCCTGGTCCGCCAGGAGCTTCCCTGTCACAGTAAGCTGGTGGGAGGGTGGTAGTGAGCTGGGGCTGCCGTGACAAAGTGCCCTGAACAGAGTGACTTCAACACGCTGCTGCACCGTTCTGGCGGCTGCGGCTCAGGATCGAGGTGTGTGCTGGGCCACGCTCCTTCCAAGGCGCCTGGGAAGGGTCTGCTGGGGCCACTCCCCGAGCTCCTGGCAGCTCCTGGCTGTGGAGACGAGCTCCCGCTGCCCTCGGCCTTCTCCCTGTGCCACCTGTGTCCACATCTGTCCCTTTTATCAGGACACAGTCATATTGGGTTAGGGCCCCCTCAGGACCTAATTTTAATTTGATTGTCTGCAAAGATCCTATTTCCAAATAAGGTCATTTTCACAGAGAGCTCCGGGCTCCATGGGTGAGCCTCGGACAGGGGTCCCTGGGGAGGGGGGCTCTCTAGGAAGGGACCGGAGCCAGGGAGCTGAATGGCATGAACACGCAAGTTCAGTGACAAGGACAGGCCCAGGCCCAGGCCTGCTCCAGGCTGCCCTGCTCAAGACGGAGGCTCATTCCTGGCAGGGTTTGCCTCTCCCTCTGTGGACCCTGGAAAGGAGGACACCCACCTGCTCCACCCAGCAGGAGGGGGTGATGGGGCACCCCCAGAGCTGTAGGGCCCTGGAGCCTGCGGTTGGCCAGCTCAGTCACCTGGATGGTCATCTCCCGGGGCCAGGCTCTCTGGCCAGGTGGGCTCAGGTGTCTCAGGAGAAGCTGCCCGGCCACCCAATCTAGAGTAGCCCGTAGCATGTACACACCCCTCCCCTCACATACCCCACACAGACACACAACGCACAACCACAACCACAACACATCACACATGCCTCACGCCACACACAGATACACGCGCACAGACGCCTCGACTCTAAATCTCTCCACCCTTGGCTCTTCCCTCCTAGCCGGTTGCTCTCATTCTGTTGGGGTCCCGGGGGTCCTTGCCCACCTGCCCCCTGTTCTAGGATGTAGATTCCTGGCCACTGTCAGGGACCTGCCCATCTTGTTCCCTGATGGGCCCTGAGCCCCTAGAACTTGCTGGGCACATGGCAGGTGCTGTGGGCTGCAGGCTTGGGGCCACCTTCCTGTGGTCTGTGGGTGTCGCCAGAGAGGAGTGGGGACCTGGGCTCCTGCCCACCGCACAGCTCCGCTAGGGTCCCACTGCCCCAGGTTTTCTCTTGGCACTTTTCTTATTCAGAAACACAAACCTTCAAGTTGCAAACAGAGCCTTGGAGAGGCTGAGAGCCCCCAGGTACCTGGGGATTTCTCAGATCTCCTCGCAGGCATAGATCTGGTATGACTGTGTCCACGTGCAACCCAGAGGCTGCCAACCCAGGTGCTGCCCATGTGACCCCCACAGGGGGTCACCTAAACTCAGATGGGTTCTTTCTGCCCTGGCAGCTTTCTGGGGCCCATCTCACCAAAACCCCCAGGACTCCAGGTGCCGGCCCCCAATACCCCTGCAGCGTTATGAAGGAAGTCCCGCTGGACCCTGAGCGGCAGGTGAGCAGCCAGGGAGTGGAGTGTCTGGTCCAGATCCAGCCCCGGCCATGGGTCTCCAGCCAGGCTCCTAACTTCCTCATCTGGAAAGACAGATGGGAAGAGGTCGCTCTGACAGACTGGCTGGGGTTTCCCGGCCACTCCTCTCAGTACCTATTAGCCTGGCCCCAGTTCAATGTTCCATAGCCGCAGGCAGCAGGAAGCTTCTGGAACAGCCTTCCTGCATCCGTGGGGGAGAAGCGGCACACTTGGAGTCAGTGGGGCCAAGGCTACGAAAGGAACCGGCTGCGAGACCCCTCCAAGGCCCCATCCAGTGAAAGTGCAGGACAGGCTCCTTCCCCACCCCCGCCCCCGCCCCAGGGTCACTGCTGTGCACCGCACTTCCTCAGTGTTATGCTCATTAATTAAACTCTTATTTACGCCCGAGGGCAGTGTCCGGCCATCTGGAAGCCTTTCCCTCTGTGGTCGGGTCATGAGAGCTCACGCACAGCTCAGGGGCTCTGGCGCCTGCTCCGGGAGGTCCCACCTGGACCCTCAGAAAAACCACTGAGCTGTCCAGCAAGGTCCTTGCTCCCCACCCCACCAATAGTGACCCTGGATTATGAGCTGTCACCAGCACCTCCTGTTCCACAGAACGCAACGTAAGGCTTTCTGTAACTGCGACTTTATTTTAATACTCAGAACACGCCTGTGAAACAGATATCAGTCCCGTTTCACAATGGGGGAGCCGAGGCTCAGAGGGGGGCAGGAACTTGCTTTAGGTCACAGTTAAGAGATGAAGGGTCAGTTCTGAGGTGGGACCAGTATCTCATGCCCACCCAGGAGCTCCATACCCCTCCTCTGCTCAGTGAGAATCAGACCTGGTCTTGGATCGAGCTCTGGGCAGAGGGCGATTCAGGACAGCAGCCAAGTGATGGGCCCAGAGGGAGGCTGGCTTAGTGACATGGACAAGGACAGTAGGTGCCACTGGTCCTGGGGAGCACCAAGAGCCCGGGGAGAGGGCTGAGCCAGTCCTGCTGGGCTGCCGCCTGAGTGGTCCACCTCTTTGGGAAGCTCCGGGTCCCGAAGGGTACCCCAAGTCCTGGGGAGAGATTGTCAGCATTTCCAGGTGAAGGACGGGAGGCGGAGCAGCTGCAGCAGGGACCAGGGATGGGCTGGCACTGGGGAGCCAGGGGTCATACAGAGGGAGGGTGGCGGGGGCAAGCGAGGTCCCCCAGAATTCCTTGACTCATGGCTTGGGAGACAGACACCCAGAAGAGGACTCACCGGAGTCTCCTGGAGCTGGGAAAAGCAGGGTGGTGTCGGGCCCAGGGCTCCCCACCAGGGCCCAGGTGGCCTCCCCTTCCTCTTGTGGACAGTGGTCAGGGCCTGGGCCTGCAGCCAGGGGCTGTCTCTGTCAGGCTTCTCCGAGATGTGCTCATGCTACCGTAAGATGAGTGATGGCATCGCCATGACCCCTAAGAGTTCCAGAAGTCACGACTGGGGCCTTTGCAGAAGGGATCCTGGCTGGGCCACCCAAGCTGCGTTCCTTCCAGAGCAGGAACATATCTGGGGGTCAATCCATGGAAAAGAGGAGAGGAGCGGAGGGAGAGTTAAGAAGGGTGAGGACGATGCCAGGGGCCTTATGAATTGGCCACCGCAGGGGTGACAGGGCCCTGGGCAACAGGATCTTCTGAGCCAAGGGACAAGGGAGTGTGTTGCTCCCCACACTGGTGCGGTCTCCTGGCCAGGCCACAACCCCTGCGCTTGCTCTCCGGCTGCGCCAAGGGGATCCAGCACCCCTAGGCAGCCCAGGGGTGCCCCAGGCAGGAAGTGAGGCAGGCACAGGTGCAGGGCCCAGCAGGGAGCAGCGGGGCTGAGCATGAGCTGAGGACCCGAGGACTAGGGTGGCCCAGGACACTCCCAGCCCTGCCGGCTGCCCTCTGCCTCTGCTCCTCCCCCTCGAGAGATGGACACCTGTACCCAGCAGCCCTGACCGCGTGTCTTCCAGCTCTGTCTTCTCCCGCCCTTGTGGTCCCTGGTCTCTGTTCCTCCTTCTGGGAGATTCCTCAGCCTCTGCTTCTGCTGACAGCTGATGGCCAACTTCTGAGACCTAAGTTCAAATTTCCAAGCCCATATCCCAAGGGGGCAGGTGGTCCCATCACCCCTCCGGGCCCTACTGTCCTGTCCCTGAGCCCAGGGGTCAGACGCCCTCGCGAGGCTCAGGAAACCCATTTTCGTTTCCCAACAGCTCTGCTGTCAGGAAGCCGTCGGATCCCTCCTTCTACTGGCTTCTGATCTTAGAAGAGATGGAGAAGGTATCTGCCTGTTGCCTGGGGTGGGGTGGCGTGGGTCATACTGAGGGTCTCCCACAGGGGCCATCATCCCAAAGAGCCCCCGTGGCCAGCAGAACAAGGGCTCCTGAAGATGCCCCCAGTGCTGTGCAGCAGGTTGGGGTGGGGGAGTTAGTTTGCTGATGACATCAAGGGGGTGAAGGGAGAGGTCTGACGGCGTGGAGATTATGCTGGGTCATCTGGGCCCACTCCAACCCCTGGGGCCCTTAAATGCAGAGGGGGGCAGACAAGGATGCCTTCACCTGCCATTACAGGTGGAAGGGGAAGGGGCTGTGAGCCCAGAGATGCAGGTGGCCCCTACAGCAGGAAAACGTGGAAAGAGCCATATGGTGGCCCAGGGAATCGGGAGTCAGGCAGGAGGAGGAGATGGGCCCCCAAGCTTCCCTGCGACTGGGCAGGGTGGATCCCCCGGGTTAGGAGCCAAGCCAACCAGAGTGGCCTGTCCGACGGGCTCTACCCTGCCCTGCCCTCCAAGGCAGCAGCCCCAGTGCCAGTCATCCGTGACAGTCTGATGCCACCATCTCCTGTGCAGCTAGACCACGGGTGCCACGCTGCAGCTGGCATCTCGCTGGGGACAGGCCTCGGAGGGAGCCTGCAGTCCTCTTCTCTTGTCTGTCCTGCTTGAGGAGCGTCACACCCCCACTGAGCCTCAGTTTCCCCTTTGCCCTCAGGCCCCTTCCTTGAGCTGTGAAGGACACGCTGAGTACGACGTTCTGCTGAATGCAGGCACGGCCCAGGTGGCTCAGGTGGCCGCTGGGGAGGACCACAGGGCTGCAGGCCTGGGAGGTCTGAGCCCGCTTCTCCACTGGAAAAGGGGCCAGGGGCAGATGATGGAGTCCGTCCTCTGACTCAGGCCCAACGTTCCCCCCGTGCCCACTGGTGTCGTGGGAGGGCCAGATGGCGTCCATCTTGGTGAAGGAGGAGCTCGGACCCCGGGAAGCAGATGAAAAGCGAGGTTGGACGTGGTGGGAGGTGAGCTTACCGCCAGCCTCCGTGCCCCCTGCCGCCTCTGTTCTGTCTCACTCTCTTGTCCGTCTCCTGTTCCTCTCTCCTTCTCTGTCCGGCTCTGTCCCTCCCTGTCCTTGTTGGCATGAGCTCTCTCCGAGGCCTCCCTTTCCAGCTGATGCCCCAGCTCTTGGCCAGTGTGGGCTTCTCGCCGTCTCTGCGTCTTCTCTTGCTTCTCACGTCCCTCCTCCAGGTTCTTATAGGATGATCTCTGGTAACCCCCGAAGCACCCGCCCCATTGACCCTCCCCGGAATAGAACTGAGTCTCAGAGACCATCTGTGTCCCACTCCACATCTGCCCATCCTGGGTATCATTGTCTCAGATCCCCTGGTGTCGGCCAATGGGTTGACAGAGAGCTGTCTGACTCCACTTGAGAGTCAAATTCATGCTGTTGCCCCATTGTCTGAGTCCACAGTGTCTTTACCTGAAGGACAAGGTCCTACAGCATGTGGCAAGAAGTTTGGCTGAGGTCTGTCGACCAGGAGGATTTTCCTGATCCCGCATCCTGGATGCCTGTCCTCTGGGGACCACCAGAGAAAAGGTCTTTTGGATCGACAGCTGTCTTAGTTGAGTGAGGGCAGAGTTTGTGCAGCAAAGACTGCGCAGGACGCACAGGTTTATCTCTAGTGAAGCACCCAAGTTGTCCTGGAGACCTCATTCCACCCAGTCACGCAGGGACCCAGGTCTCCACCATTTGTTATTTCACTGTCCCCTATGTCAATTTTGTCATTTGCATGGTTGGAGTTGGGTCACCCATGAAGGTTAAGGTCTAGACCACAAGGGCATGTGCCCAGGACAGCCTGCAGAGTGCATTCGGACTGCTGAGCTGTGTCTGCCACTCAGAAATCAGGGGGGTTGGGCTGGGGGACAGCTAGCAATCTCGGCCACTCTGGTCAGCAGGAGAAGCTCTTGCTTTAACTTCAATCTGACCCCTGTACTCTGTGGAGAGGAGTGCTAGGTGCGCCCCAGGATTCAAGCTCTAGGCTACTCCCCGAGGACCCATCTTCTGTCTGAAGGACCCAGTAGTTTCTTGGAAGATGAGCTATTCTTCTTGGAAAGAATCGTCCTCAGAGGCTTCAAGGCAAAAATATCCCAAACTGGAGGAGGGGCAGTTCCTAACACAGCCTGGGGCCTGTCATTCAAATAGTGTCCCAACTCAACCCTGCAGATGGCTTCAAGACAAAACGTGGGGTGCAAAGAAAAGTGAGTCAAACCCAGAAGACTGATTGGAAGGAACTGTGACGTGTGGGAATGGGTACGAGGACCCACGGAGGAGAGCAGAGCCCACCCCTGCTGTGGCAGGTAAGGAAGGAAGAAGGAGGAGAACCCGTCTGTGTTTCTGTTCCTACTTTACCTCCAGGCTGGTGTGGCTGGGGACTGTGGTGGCTTAGGGGTTACTTGGGGTGGGACAGGGAATAGTCAATTTTGGCTCCCAGACAAAGGAAGTCCTGGCAGCGGGAAGGGGCAGCCAGGCCAAGATACAGAGGGAGATGTGACTGGCAGCAGGCGGCCAGGGCCTCGCCCCTTAAGCCAGAGAGCTGAAGGCACCCTGGGTTTGCCATCAGCTGTCCCATTAGGAAGGGAGTGGGCAGCTGGGGTGGGACCTGGGGACCTCAGCGGCTGATCAGGAACGTTTGGCTGGATGATGTGGGCAGGAGAGGGAGGAGCGGGGAGGGGCACCGGGAGGGTCGGATTGTGGGTGAGGAGTCACGGGCGGGGCTGGTGCCAGGCAGGGCCCTCTAATTAATCCCCAGGATCGAGGGTTGCGCAACGGTGGAGAAATGTTGGATCGGGAGCCACCGTCACGCAGTCTAACAGTGTGTGTGACCAGAGAGGACGGAGCGTGGCCACCGAGGCACCAGCCGGAGAGTCCCATCTGGATCAGAACAGAGACCCACCTGGCCAGTCTGTGAAGTTGCACACAGGCCACCTATTTGCCCCTGTCACGGGCACTGGGGTTCCTCGGGGAAATAGCAGGCTGTGCAGGCCCCTTGATAGGAGAGAGCTTAGGGGAAGATGAGACACTAAGTGTGCAAAGTCACGGATGATCATTCAGTGCTTCTGTGAGAGGAGCCATGAGGGGTTGGGGTGGGAGGGGTGACAGGGACTGGGTTCTTGGAAGGGACATTTAAGCTGCTGTAAGTAGGAGGTTTGTCCAGGGAGCACTCGGGAACAATTCTCAGGTGGTAGGTGCATGTGTGCAAAGGCCCTGGGGCTTAGAGAATGACTCACTGGATTAAGGAAGCGGATGCTTGTGAGGAACTTGATGGAGCAAGATGTGTGTGGCATGGGTGGGGGTGGTGGTGGAGGGGGTGGTGGTGGGGGGGGTGGAGGGGGTGGGGGTGGGGGTGGGGCAGAAGGAGGCTAAGAGTTGGCCCTGTAGGTTTTATAAAGGGAGAGGTTGAGAAAGGGCTCCTAAGCCATGAAAAGGGTTTGGACTTTGTCCTAAGGGACATGGGAAACCACGTGTGTGTGTGTGTGTTACACGTATGCCTGTGTGTGTGCATATTAGGACTCCCCAGAGAAACACAACAAATAAGATGTATATATAAACATATATGGAAACTTAAGGAATCAGATCATACAATTATGGAGGTTGGAAAGTCTGAAGTCAGCACGATGAGGTGTCAGGCTGCAGATCCAGGAGAGAGAAGGTGCTGGGGTCCAAGCTCAAAGACCATCTTCTCTCTGGCTCAGGGGACACCAGTCTTTTGTTCTGTTCAGACCTTCAACTGATTTGATGAGGCCCATCCACATTATGGAGGATGACCTGTGTTGAGGGCCACAACCAAGTCAAGATGGCGCCTGGCACTTTGCCAGGAGGAGTGGTTTGTGAGCCAACACCACCAAGCCATTAAGATGATGGAGATTCCTTATTGGCTGATTGCTGTATCTAGATGATGTTAATTGAAACAAGCTGTGTATAATCAGTTAGGTATATATACCTCTGCTGTCCTGTAATAAAGCGGCTCCCACTGTTTCAATTTTCCCGGTTATTTGCCCAGCCAGACTGCGGCAAACCTGCTTTACCCCAAATCTCAATGTTAATCTCATCCAAACGCCCTCACAGGTGGGCCTGGACTAATATTGAATGCATGTCTGGGTGCTGAGGCCTAGTCAAGCTGACGCATAAAGTTAACCGTCCCAGTGTATCTATCCATGGAGGGTGCTGTGTGATCGAAATTGCATTTCCTGGGCCCTCTGGATGCAGAGGGAGAATGGACTGGTAGGGTTGTGTGCAGAGGAGGATGGAGTCGCCACGGGAGAGGGGCCTGGGTTGAAGATGGTGGGGTGGAGGTGGAGACACGATTCTGTTTCGAGGGTCGGGGTGGCACTGCAGTGCCGGGGAGCCCTCAGAGCTGTGTCTGCGGGGACGGAGGGGTGGAGCCAGGAGCCCAGGCCTGTGGGAGGCAGCCAGCCCCTGGCACTGGCTCATCCTCCTCCCGTCACACTGGGGCTCTTCTTCCCGCCCCCGGGAGCTGACACGATGGCTGAATGAATGACCTTTTCCCAGCTCCTCTCCAGGGGGAAGGGCCAGCTGGTCCTGGCTGGTTCCCCTCAGCATCTTCCTTTAAACCACTTCCCAATGTCCACGCTGATGTCTCCCCTGAAGTCCCCCAACGGTGTGTGCTATGCAATTAGCACGTAGCTCCTTCACTCCTTTATGACTCTTTAATTTTTAAAGGCTCATACGGAGGTGCTTTTCATGGGCAGTTGATTGCACATGTTTTTAAAAGTCCCAGCTGCCAGTAGCTGTCAGATTAGGCCAGGATGCAGAAACAAATGGCTCTTGATACCTTTAAACAACAAAGGTTTATCTCCTGTTCAATCGCAGCTCTGACCTGGGGACCCAGGTCTGCTCTATCCTGGGCCCTTCCACTTGTTTCCTGATGGCCGTGGTTCATCCAGGAAGCACGGGGGGCCTGGGGGCTGGGAGTGAATGAGGACCCTCGAGGCAGAGTTGGTGATCCAGGCACGAAAGCAGCATATACCACTTTCTCCTTTGCCCCGTGGTTAGAACATAGCCATGTGGCCTCGTGGAGTTGCAAAGGAGGCTGGGAAATAGGGTTTGGCAATATATCCACCAAGAGGGGTGATCAATATTGGTGAATGCCAGCCTCTGCCCCCGTAAGACTGTGGTTATTTTAGAGAAGCAGATCTGGGAGCACAGCAAGGCAAGATGAATTCTAAGGTCATGGGGCTGGGAAAAAGGGGTGCTGTGTCCTGAGCTCAGCTACCAACACGTGGTGAAGTGCTCACAGTAACGTGTTCACTGAATACGGCAGCATGTAAATCGGAATGTGATTTGTTCCCATCTATACTCTTTCTTTTCCTCTCTTTTATACATAGAGAAAGGTGGGGGTGGGGGTAGACTAGGAGAAGGCCGGACCCGATGGCATGCACCTGTAATTCCCACCACTCAGGAAGCTGAGACAGGAGAATCACAAGTTCAAGGCCAGCCTCAGCAGCTTAGTGAGGCCCTAAGCAAATTAATGAGACCCTGCCTCCCCCCAAATAAATAATAAATAAATAAAAAGGGCTGGGGATGTGGCTCAAGGACCTCCGAGTTAGATCCCCAGGGCCAAAAACAAGACAAAACAAAACACCCAAACAAAGCCAGACTGGAAGAAAACGCCTCCAAGTGCTGTTGGGTGAGGGCTTGGACCTCGGATGGTTAATCTCTTCATTATATTTTCAATATTTTCTACAATGAGAAATCAGTTTCCATTACTCTCTAAGCTTAGTTGATTAATTTTCTTAAGTTAAATGGTTTATTTTAAGGCCATCTGATGATAGAGATACCACCTGGCAGTGTGGTGACAGTGCACTGTCACCAATAGTGACGACCTGACCCCTGGATTCTGGTTCTTCACGGTGTCCAGCATGTTCCTGCGGCTGCCTTTGCTCTTTCACTGATTCGCTCTGTAAGCTCCAAACTCATCCCCTCCCTGTCTGCTGGGTGCCAGCAAGACCCTGATACACAGAGGACCCTGAAGGGTGGGCCCAGCATCCCAGCACCCTGAGTTCAGGAATTTAGTTGTGAATGGATTCGGGAGCCCCTGCTGCAGGGCCTGTCATGAAGGGCCTGGTGCTGGGCCTCGGGGCTCAGCGGTTCCCTGTCACCTCCAGAGAGCACTGCAGTGGGCTCCCTGTATGAATGATGGCTGCTGTGGGGTGGGGCCGTGCCAGGTTCCAGGGACACGGGGAAGGCTACGGAAGCCCAGTGGGTCTTGGAGTCTGGAGACCAAGGTCTAATCAAGACTGGGCTCCTGCTCAACCCAGGGCTCTTTCTAGAACCTCCTTTCCTGGCTGCCAGATGGCTTGCAGCTGGCTGTCTCCTGCCGTGTGGCCTACCTACACAGCTGGCCCACAGCCCTGTGGGGTCCCCATCTGTGACTTCAGGGAAGGCCAGACGCTCTAGGGAAACAAGATGCTCAAAGGGAAGGTCTGTGCATCTCGGCATCTAGGAGCATAAACAAAACGCTGGCTGCGGCTGTGGTCGCCTCTCGGGGCTGAGCCGGATTCCTGCCCAGGACCTGCAGCCTGACTTTCTGTGACAAGGCCCGCATGCATACACATGCACACACCACACACAAGTACCAAGCACACGTGGACACACACATCTCCCCTGTCCCAATGGAAGAGCTGATTACTCTCTCCTCTGCCTTCTCCATCTCAGGGGCCTTGTTTATTATTATTTTTCCCCCAAACAAATTTAAGGGTAAAAAATAAAAAAGAATGGAGCGAATATGACTTCACTGCTAAATGTTTTTGATTCTGTAAGCAACAGAGAGTTTTTTCCCCAACTAAACCTTACACTGGAAGCAGTGAAGGTGCTCAGGTTGAAGCCAGGTAGGGCCGGAGCCCTGGCTACGGGGAAGCTCCCCTCAGCTGTGGTTGGAGAAATACTGGGAAAAAGGGAGAGGAGGCACAAGCACTGCCCAAGGGTCAGGAGAGCCGGGTTCCATGCCGGGCTCAGCCTCAACTCTCAGCCCCAAAGACCTCCTTGGGGCCCTGGCTCCGCAGTGACTGGGTAAAGGGGGCAGGCCACCCCTCTTGGGGCTCGGCTGCCCATGGGCCCATTCCTGCAGGTGCAGATGCCTGGCGAGCCGAAGGGGCCCCGGGAAGCCCGCAGCCCTGCCCTCCCCTTCCTTAGGCCCGAGGATTCTCTGGGTTAATTTCTGGCTCTGTGATTGCATGGGAGGAAGCCCCACTGGGAATGAACTAGAACAGATAAAAAGTTGTATTGGGGCATTATTTGTTATAAAACCCTCAAAAAGTCCTGTGTGTGGTCATGTTTTGGCTCAGTTTGCGGACCTCCCGGAAGGACTGCGGAGCTGTTTGTGTGCTCACCTCCTCTGACCCTGGCTTTCAAATCAACTGATGCACTTTGTATCTTCAAAGCATTTTGGAAACGTGAGGCGGAACCCAGTAAGGAGGAGATTTGGAGTCCCACGCAGCTGTGTTCACTCCCCAAGCCCAAGACTTCCGTTTCCAAACGCTCAACAGAGCTGGAAGGGACCCTCCATCGTACAGATAGGGCAACCGAGCCCCAGCAGGAGGACCAGGTCAGCGGCAGAGCTGGGAGGGGGCCCAGGGCTCCTGACTGTGCCAGGGCAGGGCTTGTAAGGACCCAGGTTTCAAAGGAACAGAGCCCCACGTGGAATCCTGGCTCAGCCTACGGAAAGCCCCGGGATGGCGGGCAAGTCAACCGGCGTCACTGAAGCTCAGGGTCACCTGTGGAAAGTGGAGGGATGCCCTGCTCACAAGGTCAATAACTAATAACTAACATGACCGATGCAACGTGTTGGTGATAGGAGCAAGGACAGCGCTGGGGAAATGTTCACAGCCCTCTTGATGCCCTCCCTGTCCAGACAGGAAGTTTGAGGCTGTGAAAGGCACAGCCCTGTGGGGGCACCACCCTTGCACACTCAGTTTGCACAGAGGAGCAACGGATCTTGCCAGGTTCCTGGCAAGGAGAGCATTACACATCTGGGAAGAAATTCCCAGGCAAAGCCCCTTGGGATAGAGGCCGAGAACCAGGAGCTGTGTGTGGCCAAAACATCCCACCTG